ATAAGACAGTCGGTTTAATTACTATTGGAAAATGCTTGTCATTCCTCTGTAGCATCTGGTCTCCACTGGACCTTCATCATTTCCTTCACCGGCTCCCTCCACCGACCAAACTGTATAGCTCTGCAACTGCATCCTGGCCCATCCTCACCCTTCTGCCCCCAACCCTCACCTCCTTGTACCCCCAATATGTTTTTCCCAATAAAAAAATTATAATAAAAAAAAGATAGGCATCAGCGTGAGAGACCAACAACAGTGTGTGGTGTAAGACATCACAGAAGTGACTTGTGGCCTAAACTATCATAGCAAGAGGTGGTTGGGGGAGGGAGATGCTTGACCAGGTAGGCAGGAGTGCAAGGAATGCTCATGCAGTAAGGAAAGGGAAGTGACAAGACACACATGCTTGGGTGAGGGGATAGTGGATGTATTGGTTATGTCTGAAAGGAAGTGTCTTTCATCTACTCCTTTTCAGTAAAATCCTTGTCTGTCAGAAGTTGTTCTTAAACTAAGCATCCAAATTAAGGCCATGATTTTTGCAATTACTTGCTATGTGTCAGAAAGGTGAACAATGACTATGGATGATAGAAGAAGAATTGATGCCGTTGAGCTGTGATACTGGAGAAGAATATTGAATATACCGTGGATGGCTAGGAGAACTAACAGGTTCATCCTAGAAAGGGTGAAGCCAGACTGCTCCTTGGAAGCAAGGATTTTGAAGCTTCATCTGACATACTTTGGACATGTTGTAAGGAGAGACAAGTCCTTGGAGAGGGAAATCATGCTTGGGAGGGTAGAGGGAGAGCACAAGAGAGGAGGACCCTGAAAGAAATGGGTTGATTCGGGATAGGTGTGTCAGAGACAACAAGATTGGCACTGGATAGAGCAGGGTATAGGGCTGTTTTACACAGGGTTGCTATGAGTCACAAGTGATTCAACTGGACATAACAAAAAGGAAGAAGAAATGGCCATCTACTTCTAAAATACAACAGGCCTTCAAAAATCCTATGTACAGTAGGGGACACTAAGAGTAGACTAACAGATATTGCAAATACCTTTCATAAGAAACATAAATGCAGTCTATATGAATGGATTTCATCTGATGATATGCACAGGAACCAGACTGATTACATCTGTGGTAAGAGTCATTGGAGAAATTCAGTATCAGCAGTGAAAACTAGGCCAGGTGCTGATTGTGGAACAGACCACCAACTACTCATATGCAAGTCCAAATTAAAGCTAAAAAAAGAGCAGATCAAATCCACAGAAATCAAAATTTGATCTTGTGTCTATCTCTCCTGAACTTAAAAACCAACTCAAGAACAGATTTGGAGCCTTGAACACTAATGAGCTATGTATGAGCTATGGGAATATATCAAGAATATCGTCCCTGAAGAATGCAAAAGATCATTACAAAGGAGGAAGAAAAAAACACCAAAATGGATGTCAGAAGAGACTCTGAATATTGCACTAGAGCACCGAGAAGCCAAAGTAAGGAGAAGAAATCAAGATGTTAAGGAGCCAAATAGAAGATTTCAAAGGGCAGCTTGGGAAAACAAGGCAAAGTATTATAATGAGATGTGCAAGGAGCTGGAGTCGAAAATCAAATGGGCCAAACTCACTCAGCATTTCTTAAGATGAAGGAACTAAAGAACAAATTCAAGCCACAAGTTGCAACACTTACAGATGCTATGGGCATAATATTGAATGATTCAGGAAGCATTAAAAAAAGATGGAAGGAGTATACAGAGTCACTGTACCAAAAAGAATTGGCTGACACAGAAGAATTTCAAGAAACAGAAGCATATGATCAAGAGCAATGCTGATGAAGGAGGGAGTGATGGCTGCTCTGAAGGACTTGGTAAAAAATAAAGCCTCAGGGATTAATACCAACTGGCATATTTCAACAAACAGATGCTGCTCTGGATGTGCTCACCAGGTTGTGCCAAGAAATCTGGAGGACAACTACTGGCCAACTGACTGGAAGAGATCCATATTTATTCCCGTTCCAAAACAAGTGGCCCAACAGAGTGGGGAAATAACCAAACAATGGAGTGGCATCCACTTCTTAAACAACATGCCTCTGGAAACTATGATGATAGTTAAAGAGCAGAGTTCAGATCTTCTGTTCATAGGGTCGCTATGAGTCATGCTTGACTTGACAGAAGTTAACAACAACAACAACATCACACATTAGCAAAATCCTGCTGAAGATTATTCAGAAACAACTGGAAATACATTGACAGAGAACTACCAGAAATACAAGCTGGGTTTGGAAGAAGTTGTGCCACTAGAGACATTATCACCAACGTCAGATGGATCTTGGCAGAAAGCAAAGAGTATCAGAGGAATGTCTGTGTTTCATTGACTATACAAAGGCATTTGACTATGTGGATCACAACAAATCGTGGCTAACTTTGAGGAAAATGGGCATCTCAGAACACTTGATTGTTCTTATGTGAAATCTATAGTTGAAGCAGGAAGCAGTGCTCAGAACAGAGCAAGGGAAAATGGCATGGTTAAAAATTGAGAAAGGAATGTGTCAAAGATGCAGCCTGTATCCATACCTTTTCAATCTATATTCAGAACAGATCATTTGGGAAGCTGAGCTTTATGAGGAAGGCTATGGCATCACGATTGGTGGAAGACTCATCAACAACCTACATTATGCAGGTGACACAACCTTGCTTGATGGAACTGAAGAGGACTTGAAGCACGTGCTGCAGAAAATAAAGGACTGTAGACTTCAATATGAATTGAAGCTCAATATGAAGAATACAAAGATACTCACTACTGGTTCAATTGGCAGCCCCATGATAGATGGAGAAAAGACTGAGGTTGTTAACAATTACAGCTTGCTCAGCTCCACAGTCAACATTCTTGGCACCAGCAGCCAGAATATCAAAAGAGAAATTGCACTGGGAAAATCTGCTGTCAGGGACCTCTCCAGAGTACTGAAAAGCAACGATGTCAATCTACAGGCTAAGGTGCACCTAATTCAGGCCATCAATTCCTGGAGCCTTATTTTTAGCCAATGCCTTCAAAGCAGCTTCTACTTCCTTTTTAATTACCATTGGCTTCTGTTCATATTG